GGAAGGAAGGAAGGAAGGAAGGAAGGAAGGAAGGAAGGAAGGAAGGAAGGAAGGAAGGAAGGAAGGAAGGGCCGGCCTGCCCTTGTTCAGTTGCTAGGCCTTCCTTTCTTGACAAAAGTGTTAATTTCAGAATGCATCAGACCCCAGGACTTCTCCTTGGTAATTCTTGGAAAGAATCTGGACAGTAAGAGATTGGGGAATACTGCCCTTCTGGATTCAGCATCCTCCTTCCCATAGTGTCTAGAAAGAGTGACCCTTGATGAAATACATATATAGAGATGACAGGATAGTTCACTGAAACAAACGACTGATCTTTCTCTAGCACAATTACTAGGTCACAAGAGCAAGGCATGGTGATGGAGCCACAGCAATAGTTACTATCTAGCTCAAAACTCCCTATAACTCCATATGATGAAGGCTGCATATGGAGTTAACTTGAACAGCCTCACAAAAGGGAGACAAGATTGAGTGAATGGGGCAGCAGTGATCACTGGCTTTTATGCAGTGTGCCTGTGTTATATAGTATTTCAAGCAAGAGGGTCCACAATCACCAGTTGTTATCTAGCAAACATTAAAATGGGGCCTACCTTTCACTGCAAAACACTCAGTGAAATTATCACTGCCAGGGAGCATAGGAAAAAAAATGTAAAACTACATAGATTTTTTTTTTCCACTGACTGAATTACCAAGTAGCTATAGACCATGGGCAGCAGTTTAAGCTTAAAAACAAACAAAACAAAACAAAAACACAACTGCATCATCACCTTGATAGAATCCCAGATCCCTGATATCTACCCTGTATATTCCCATTCAGTGAATTTGGAACAGGAGCCTATGGTCAGTGAGGGTTCACATCAGGGATTTCAGAAAAGAGAAATCTCAGAGTGAAGACAATGCTTTGTCTAACACTGTGGGAGATAATGCCAAGAATAACAGAGATGATATAGCATCCATGGGGCAGAAGGTGAGAAAAAGAAATCCAGATTGCTAATGGGCAAATGATGGCACAGGAAACAGGCCTGAGTAGTTTGAATCAGTTGATATACTATGAGTTTTTCTCTACTAATCAGTGATGTTCAGTTGTTTAATGTTGGCTGCTAATATGTTTGCAATAAAGCTTAGTCTTTAGCTGTAGCTGTATTTCTTGAGGAAGCAACTGCAGTAGAGTTCCTGAACTAGAGGGCCATAATGCTTCTCCATATACCCCACTAGCTTGTTTCCCTGGCCTCATCCACTTCCAAACAGAAAAGTTCTTATCTCCATTCAGTGGTTGATAGGAAATTAAACCTTATTCTGCCTTAAGGACTGTTGAACAGACTCTGCTGATCCCATTAGAAGAGAACCAACACTGGCAGGACAAGCTACTGCATATAAACAGGGAGAAAACCCCACACTCACTAGCACTGATGATGTTACCTAGTTGGGTAATGAAACATCTGCAGGCAAACAACCAAGCTCAGAGAGCACCAAGGACTCCATAGACTCTCATCAATAGCGATGACAGTTTTACAGCTTAATGACCAAATGGAAGACATTTAATCCAAATGTAGGAAAAGTGACATGACAAGCAGCCTTTGCTAACAGAGCAGAAGCAATGGGATTGGCATCAAAAGTACTGGGGGCCAAGGAACTATGCTGTGTTCAAGGGACAGTTCTGAACTATGAGACAAACTAGTTTCAGGGATTTTAAAAGGTAGGCAGACCTGCCATGTCTGTTCTCCCGTGGGAAAAAAAAAGATGTTACACATAAGCAGAGATGATACAGACAGGCAATGCAAAATAGGTAAATACTGTTCCACCTTTTTTTTTCCTTTTCTGAAATGCAAATCATATATACACACAAAACAAACTGTGATCTGTTTATCAACACAGCATCTCTATGGTTGTGATGGGCAGAGGGAGATAAGATGGAAGGTGGGGAACAGGCCATGATGGGAAACAGGAGAGGAAAGTTGGCTGCCATTCCACCTTCCAGCTCCCCGGCCTGAACCCAAATACTTGTTAAGGCTCACCTTAGCATCATTTTTTGCTTATTTTTACAAATATTTTATAATTGGGGCAGCAGGTTGGGTATGTATATAATTACAGATGTTCCTTTTATTTTTACTTCCCTGCAACAACATAATTACTCTTATGTATGACATATGGTTGATCATTACGTTCAGATATATTACCACCTAGCTGTAGCTCTGGGAGAAGCCAGGTAGAATCTAGCTCTCAAAATAGAGTGATTAGGGAATGGCCTTGAAGGACAGGAGGAAGAGCCACTACCAAGACAACATCAGACAAGTGGGGCTTGAGTCCATCCCAAGAAACTAATCTGAGGAAACATCTTGAGCCCCTCCCTAATTCACACGATGATAAAGTGAGAGAGGGGGGAAGCATATTCAGATTTGCAAGATTCTGTTACTACAGCTCTTCTAATAAAAATAATTTTAGACCTATATGGCACTGGTTTCTTAGCTACAGAAGAGAAAACTTACTGAAGGTTCCCCATGCAGCCCCACCCCTACTGTTCTCCAGGCAGGAAAAGAAGAAGAAACTTTGATCCCTATGTGTGTTCAAAACAGCTGTCAGGAAATAAAAATAAATGTACTGGTTTACAATTTTGGTATAACAGAAATCCTTCTAAGCATGCAGATCTTGCCCCAAGAGGGCAGTTGGTTATTAATCAGAGACCCAGGCATAAAAAGCTTGCATGCATAAAAGTTACGGTCAGCAGGAAAAAAGAAGCAAGAAATATTAGAAGATTAAAAAACAAAAAACATTGCAAATGCAATGCCGCCTTGCTGGCTGACCTGCGCAGCGTTTAGTGCGCTCTTGTGTTCTTCCAGTGTCATTACAAGCTGGTTGTGTTGGGAGATTAAATTCTTATGCTGAAACTACACAAAAGAAAATACCACATCAAATGCGAGCCCAAGAGTTTCTTCAAAGCCCAAAAGATATTCTTAGGGCTGTCAACCACTGATTTGTCACTTGCTTTTTAACCAGTTAATTAAATATACAGTAAAACCTCAGTTTAACACACAAATGAAGAGGAGTGGATCCTTCTTGTTTCTCACTGTTAAATCAGAGAGTATGTCATTTCCAGCAACATCATTACACAAATGACATAGATTACATCATTTGTGACAAATGATGTAATTATAACAGGGTTTTCATTCATGGAGTTGAAGTTCACTACTATGAGGTTTCACTGTATATGCATCTTATCAAAATTTTAATAAATGAGCTTTTTGAGGGGTGGGTTGGTGCAGTCACAGCTAGAGAACATAGAACAGACATAACTCATGGTTGACAAATTTTAGTGCACAGCTTGTTGCTTGAATCCAGTCAATTGTGGACTATTTAATACTCCATCATTATAAAAAAAATGACTTGGTATGATACGATGCATGAAAAAGATGCTAATATTAGCTTTTTATTCTTTATTAGCATTATACATCAGAACTCAAACAGCCTCCAAAGCTAAATAGGTTGTCTTCCCTAATTAAAATGAGTCCCACAGATATAAGCTTACAGTTTTACAATATACTGTATGTATACATACCAGACACAGACACAGACACAGAAAGACACAAACACACATATATTCTTATATAGCCATACATTATGTTATATGCTGGGATACCAGCTAGTTTGTTCTCAAGATCAATGGTTTTGTGTATGAGTTTCTACAGAAAATTATTACTCTTCACTTCCCACCAATGAAAACTATTTCCTCATTCATTTCAGGAGAAAAAAACAGATCTGAACAAGTAAGGATGTTACTTCTACCTCCCAATAGATTGGACAATTATACATTTCTATGAACTTCATCTGCTAAAAAACAAAAACTATTTATGTGTAATTATTTTATTGATTTCAATACACAACAAGCAACATCTATATTTTATATTTATCCATTCATTATAAATTGAACACTGACAAATATTCCCTGTAGATACTGCCTTTTTACTCTAGGTGAGCCTTAAACTGATTCTGGAGCTCAGAATTCTTATAGACTGGAGAGGAACAAAGGCAAATCTGGAATTACACACTAAAACAATTCATCTGTGAACTATCTATGGTCCCTTTTGGCTACAAGCATGGCTTATGGAAGACTGCAGACTTGGAATGTAAAAGGAGTAAATGGAAAGAGGATGAATGAATGATTGAAATGAATGAATGAAAGAAAAACAGATATGTTGTATGCCTGAGAATCTAAGAGGAAAGGGATGGCTGTAATAGATCTGAATGAAGGTGGTTTGAACTTGTGCAGCAGAGTTGATGAAGACATGCATGAAAATGAAAGTGTGGGTTTAATTATGAATAAAAAAGCCAAAATGTATGCCAGAAAATATGAACTAGTATTATTTGGACTGTTTTAAGGGTGTATGAAAATAGAAATTCATAGTCAAAAGCTGCATGTTATGCTCCAGTGAACTGTGATAATAAAAAAACTAGGAATGAGTTCTGAGAAAAACTGTGCAACATTCTGAGTGAATGCTATCTAGGGGAAAAAGTTATTCAGGTGATGTGAATGCAAGGATGGGAATGAATCAAGAGAGTACAGAAAAAGTGACTGCGACATTCAGAAACTCAAGAATGAATGAGAATGGTGATTGGTGTGTATCTGCTTAGGAGAAGATTCTTTCAAATGCATGATTTAAACATGATGAAATATGCTTAATTTGAGAGAAAGCTGAAGGATACAAAGATGGTGAGAAGTTCTGAATGTAAGATAATTTTTGGTAGTATTAGGAATGGCTCTTGCACAACATGAACATAAAAGGGAGGGAGGGAGGAACTAGAGTGAAAGTAGAATGACTATAGGAAGAAACAATACAAATGCTATATAAAAAAATAATCAAAAGCCTGATTTATCTTAAAGAAAGGGTACGTGGAAGCAACATGGAATGGATGGAAAAGAATTGTGTTATAAAGTGCCAAAGAAATGTGCTGCGTAATGCTAATGGGAAGGAAGCTTGGTGGAATGATGAAGTGAAAGAGGCTGTGGATAAGAAAAATATATATGTAAAGAGAATAAATGAATGAAGCTGGAGCAGAAAACAAATATATGAAGAAAGAATGAATGGGCTGAGAAGGAGAAGTCCAAGAAGTTGGGGTTGATAAAAAGAATGGTAAACACAGTATGAAGTACTATATGGATGTAGTAGAAGCAAAGAGGATTTGCAAGGATAGAAGCATCTGGAGAGTTACAGTGAATGGTGTTAGTATAAAGCAGATTTAGCTAAATCTCTTCTTTTATTATCTCTTTAATGCCTTTAGCTTATTATTTCTTACTCCTGTTCTGCCCTTTGCGTTACACTGCCTACTCCAAAAAGGGAACAGTGTAATGGGTATGAATGTACCAAACCATAATTTAGCATTACGGAAGCCAGAATTTAATTACCATTCCTACTGTCATTACATGGAAGCCTAGAATGTGATTTAAAAGATATTGTGATTTCTCAACATGTACAAACAGAGCTTATAATTGGCTTGTTTAGTAATTTACTAATTTATTTAAAACCACAACGCAATTACTTGGGTGCAGGAAACTTTCTCCTTCTGATTATTCAGAGGGTAGAGAGTGAGGCGATGCTATGTTAAATTATGCATTAGTGACCTATGTGAATACTTCCAAAATGCCACATGAAGGCACTAATGTATACGTAAAGAAAAAAAAAACCTTCTACCACACTTCCCTTAATCAAGCCACAAAGATTAAACATTTTTCTCATTGTTTTACATACCCCGTTGCAACACTTTTATTCCTCTTTGCAAAGAAGGAGATTTTTCTCTCTTTCTCACCATTCACTGCTTTTTTAGGAGATTGGGATCTTACCTTCACATCTTGCAGCTGAGTATGAGTATCTTGGTAGGCTTTCCTCAGTTGCCTGTTTTCTTCTTGCAGATTGTACATGGATTCTGTTAAAAATTCAATGTAAAAAAACAGATCGAACAGATTTATATCTTTGTGGGATGAATTCTAATTGAGTATGTTTTCAAATATTAACAAACTTGATGCCAATCTGAGTAGACCAGCCTTGTCCAAATAGGTGCCCCTCAGCTGTATCAAACTGCAAAATCCATAATCCCTAGCTAACATGGCCAAATGGTGTGCTGGCTCTACAGGGAGGACTAGTCTCTCTGATTCCAAAATTATTTAAGCAGCACAATTCTGTACCTTTTAACTTGGACAGCTCCTGTTCCTTTTCTTGCTGCAGCTGCATGTATCGCTGCTTGTGGTCATCGATTGCTCGGTTGAAATCATCTCCCTGTCTTCTTTGCTCGTCTTCCAGATCTGAGTGCTGTTTCTTTAGTTCTTCATGCTGGCTCTGTGTAGTGCAAAACGAAAACAAGAAACAGCACAAGGAATTCTTGATCCATGCAGCTGCCAATTTTTATATTTTGATTTTTAATGCAGCCTCACTCCCACAGGATGAGACAATGATCAGCAATGGTGCTCTCAATATTCCATTTCTGGCCTATTTCTTTATTTTGATACTTCCTACTCTTGTAGAATGTAGCCTCATCCCACTCAAAGGCCAAGAAAAAATTGGTCTGAAAAAAAAGTTCCAATCTGCCTTAAACCACAGTTTAGCCCTACCCTGCTAAGCATGCTCTTCCTTCCTCTCTTTTGTGTTTTCTCCTGCAATTTGTATATCAGTAACAATAAAAAATAGTAAACATAAAACAGGAAGGAGGAGGAAGATGGAACCCTGTGAGCTTAAGATTAAATGACAGTTTAGCATAACTTGAAATTCAGATCAGCAAATCATTCTGAATATTTCTGACACTTAAAATCCTCTCTTGGGATTGTACTATCTCAGAATGTCCGTCAGGTTCAAGCTCCAAACCACAAATCCTTACACCCTTTCTGTGCTTAGAAATCAAACATAGGAAATGTTTGCGGGGGTTTCATATGTGAAAAGACCTTTAATTCTCTTCAAAGTACAAAGAAATGTGCATGAAACAATTGGATGGAAAACATTTTCAATCAGGAAACAGCCCTTCTCATGAAATCCAAAAGACTAAATGAAGCTGAAAAGGTTTTTTAACTGGAGTTTTTGACAAATGCTAAATAGGACTGGAAGCCTGATTTCATCATCCCCTACCCAACTTCTGTTTAAAGGCTGGATAAAGACAGAGATGGGCATATTTTATATGGCTGGGAAGGGAGTAGAGGGCAGGTTCAATGATGAAAAGGTATTCTGAGAGATCACAGACCTTCAATTTTCAGGATAAATGTTATATTTAAAGGCATGCAGTATTCTAATATTAAGCAGGTAAAAATGCTCCAAATCTAGCATGGACACCCTTGTTGAACCCCTGCCAGTTTCTTAAAGGAGCTGTACCTTTTTTGGAGCTCATATGGTAGCCACATGGGTTCAGGAAATGTTTTTAGGTCCATCAAGAGTGCCCACGCTGGTTATAAAGCACCTTTGACAAGTATATTAAGCCTGATTTATAGCTTCTGCATCGATTTTCCTTTGTTTACCAGGAAAATGCATGTGAATGATGGGGGCTGTAGGGGCTATAAGTTGCCTACCATTGGAAAAAGACAAGTCAGGTATCTACCTTCAGCATCTGGTGTTGTACATTCAGTGCACTGTATCTGCTATTGGAATCTTGCTGCAAAACAAACAAATGAACAAAAAGAAACACATAGTTAGATGAGATTTTCAACTGCTTTTGGCATAGCTATGGCATTTTTGTGAATGGTACAGAAATTCCAAACTTGTTCTTGAATTTGCCTACAGAGATACACAGGGAACAGACTTTAAGCTGCATGCTAAGACAAACTTTCTTGGCTCAGTGCTCTCTAGATGTGTTGAATTCAACTACCAGAGGTCCCAGCTTGTGGGAGGTTTGGGGCCTTGGAAGTCCAGCATTTCTAGACAACACTGGAACAAATGTGGATTACAACAGACTGACTGAAGATGCTGGTGCTGAAATCCAATCACCTAGAAGACACCACAGCAGTAAAGACTATTTTAAAGCATGCCCATATGCCTCTCTGCCATATTGCCCAATCTCCTCATATGAAAGCCATGGACTACCCAGGGATCCTACCCACAACCGACTAACCTGACTCCCCAAGGTGGCAAGAATGTGGGTTAGAGTGATGGAATGGTAGAAGTACAAAACCAAAAAATCCTGTTTAGAACTGGCAGAAAAGGAGTAGCAATTTACTCCTCAGATTTCATAATTGCATACAGTTAGAAACTCCCCCATCCCAGGATTTACACTTACATTGAAAACCATTTTTCATTTTAATAACAATTTCTCCAATTTCAGATGATACTTTTGAAGGTAATGTGGTATCACCTTGAACCACATCGCTCCCTTAGATCGAGGTTTCCTAGTGAGGCATCAATGCATCTGAGGAAACGTCACTTGTCATCTGCCATGCTCCACACCCCACCTGACTTTGTATTTTTTTTTTTAATGTAAAGCTGTCATGCATTTTTAATGTAAAGCTGGTAGAGGCTTTAATAAGATCCTTATGTGCAGAAAACTTATCAATTACTTCTGCTCACTTACCCTTCCTTTATTTAATGTTTCTTGTGCTTCTAATTTATAAACAAGAAAGTCTAAAATACAAAAATAAAAAGGGGAAAAATGAATGATCTTGAGGAACATGTACATAAATAAAACCCCAGAACCAGCTATTCTCTCTGGAGGCAATTCTAGCTCAAACCTCCTTTCACTGTCAGGATTTCACACAGTAATTCAGCCATACACAATTTCTCTGCATTCAATTACCATACTCTTGAGTGGTATATGTGAACTGATGAATATGTAAACTGACTCCACTTAGAAGCCTGTGACTCAATGCCCCCCAAATTAAGGCACTTGGCGCCAATTAAAATCAATGGAATTTCAGTCAGGTAACAACTTGGATTTAAATGCAACTCATGCAAATCCATGAGATTTGAAGTGAGCGTATCATGTATCCAGGTACAGATACTGTGGTGTTGTAAATGCAGAAGTCCATTCACAAAAACATGTAATGCTAGTTACCCTTGTGTGTGAAGAAACTGGCTTTCAGTTTAGCTTTACTGAAAGATGAAGTTCCTCAGTCTCTGAAAAAGGGCTCAAATGACTAACTCAGCCCTATGCCAGACCCATAGTTCTGTCTCCACATAATTTTTCCATATGTACCTAGTCTTCAAACACTAGAACGGTCACTCTAAATTGGATTTCTAAATGCATATTGTCATTTTTGGGAGAAAAGAATCACAAGAAATTCAGCTGGGCTAAATGATTGACTCCATTCTGTTGAATGAAATATGTCTCTATTTGCAGAGAAACTGTGCTGGACAGAATGAGTTTTATCCACTAGATGGTAGTAAGTAACCATAAAAGAATCAGCTCTTATCTGGATAACCACAAAACCAACCACCACCACCAAGAGCATTCAAACTCCTGCCATTTTTATGAAAAGGCAGTTTCAATCCATGCCAACTTTAAAGGAGTGTATCATCCTAAATTGCCATTCAAGGTTCTTGTACTGCTAACACAACCAACAGCATTTCTCCTGTGATAAAATCTTTCAAAATTCAACTGAAATGTAAAGTATTACCTTCTTTTGCTTTCTTATGCTCAAGCCTTTCTTTCTGTAAAGATTTTTCTAATCTTGATCGATGTTCATACACAACTGAAAAAGGGAGAAAAATTGCAGGGAAATAAGTAGTTGTTCAACAGGTGACAGAAAAAGGAAACAATGTATTTTAGAGATGGTAAGAGTGAAGATGCTTAGCAGGTAGCAAGCACTTGGCCAATGCTATCTGGGCTCAGAAGCTAACTTGGATAGGCCAACCACACGGTATCCCTGTGGTTGTTGGCAATCAAGCTTGACTCAAAGGCATTTTTACCTTTAAGAGCAACAAATATAAAGTGCCAAGAGGAAAGTACTTAACATTTTGAAAATGGGTGTGTGAGGGAGCATGCAGTTAAAACTTTAGGTATCAATGTAGATGCACACACCAAGCAAAATATTCTATGCATTCAAGTAGATACTTGAACAGGTGATCGTCGATTACATACATAAAGCTAAATTACTTCAGCTTGATGTTCAAATTTACATATAGTGGATATATAATGACATTCAGCCCTCCAGCAATGGCACCAATCATATTTGTTTGTTTGGTGTATGGAAAACATTTCAAATCTGAAGGGTTTGAGCCTGAAACACCCCCTCCAAACAACTGATTTGAACTTCAAACATGTCAAATTCCAACGTTTTCACACCCCTATTGCTCATGTATGTGTGTTTGTACACACCTATAAATACAGAAATCTCTCACCACGCTGAAAAGAGAGCAAAGACTATCCTTTGTATCCAGGAGTCTGAGCTCTCAACCTTTGGAGATTAGTTCCAAAGCTACTTTCAGAAAAGTCTGACAAGCACCAAAGGAATGGGGAGCAGTGAGCCACAAGCTTTGTTCTACCCATTCTTCAGATCTCTCAAAAGGCACTTACAGATAGATTTAGAGTTGCTCAGTGCAACTTGGACTCCTGGACAACTGGGAATTCAAACTCAGAGCATTTTGCAAACTTCTTAGTTTTGCATTAAACTTTAATAGATAAGTTTTGAGTGCAAGTTAAGGTACTATGGGCATAATTTATGCAGTAATTGTAATAGCACCTTCATCACTATTGGGCAGAGGTGCCTACAGGCTCCACCATGCATGTAATGTCATGATGCATCTTAAAAAAGGGGTGTCACTATGGTGCAATGCTACTGCTCCTGGGATGTGAGTACCAGACAGTCACCTCAAAACTTATTGCATGTTGTTCAATTTCAATTTAGTATGATATATGAACCCACTACTGCAGTTTATAAATCATGGTTCATGGCCCAGTGTTATCTGGAAATCAGGCCACGATAGTTCGCTTAACAAACCATGCTTAAAACAAACCACAGCTTAGCACAATGTGTGAACCTATCCAAAATGTGATCATAGACTAGCTTAGCTTAGCTTAGCATTCAAGATCTGGACTGGCAAATATGCTCAGTCACGCTGGCTGCTAGTTCATTTCCAAGCCCTAATCAAAGTCTTGATATAGGGCTTTAAAGTCCCAAGATGGCTGAATATCTGGATGAATGCATCTTCCCATTGTTCTCCTACTGACAGGCCTTGGTTTGGGGCACTGTAAATGAAGTCAGGTGGATGTCTGCAAGGGAGAAGGTTTCAAATGTAAAAAGCCAGACAGGGAAGCCTATCTGGCACCCTTCAACAATGTCTTCTCACAAGCATTTTCATACTTAGCTTTCAAGCTCCTGAGTTATAGTGGGATATATAGAAGATTATGAGAATTGAAAACTGAGCCCAGCTCTAGGATCCTTGATCCAAAAAAGCAGAGTTTTGCAAAACATTTTGAATTTTAAATATCCTGCTTTGAGAGTAAAACAGTTGTTTCAGTTGTGAAATGGGCTGGTTTTGAGACTTTTGAAACTTGAAGCAGAGCTGTTTGGAGTTCAGAGCAGCCTCCAAATGCTCAAAACAGCCCATTTTGCATTTGAAACACCATCTTGCATTCAGTCTCCAGCTGTTTTGAACTTAAAATAAGATGCACTGAGCTCAAAACAGAGTGTTTTAAATTTGAAATGTGATTAATTTGAAACATTCTATTCATTCCTAGAGAAAACCAAAAGTGTTCTCTGGACTTATCTTATGGTCTTATGTTGATGCAGAATTATCATATGGGTTCTGCTGACACTACTTGTTTCAATTCTTCCAGATGATATCAAGGAAATTTAAGTACACAGCAGGTAGTACAGAAGAAATGGAGGAACAGTATACAGTGGTACCTCGGTTCATGAACTTAATTCGTTCCGTGACTCTGGTCGTGACCTGAATTGGTCGCGACCCGAATCAAATTTTCCCATAAGGTTCAATGTAATTACAGTTGATCCTACTTGTTTCAATTCTTCCAGATGATATCAAGGAAATTTAAGTACACAGCAGGTAGTACAGAAGAAATGGAGGAACAGTATACAGTGGTACCTCAGTTCATGAACTTAATTCGTTCCGTGACTCTGGTCGTGACCTGAATTGGTCGCGACCCGAATCAAATTTTCCCATAAGGTTCAATGTAATTACAGTTGATCCATTCTGACCCCTCCGAATTTGGTCACCAACCGATTTTTGGTCGTGTCCCGAATCAAA